GCTCCGCGCCCGCCCGCCGCGCCGCGCCGCCCGCCGCCATCTTGGGGAGAGCGCGGGAGCCCGCGCTCGCCATCTTGTGGAGCCGCTCGCCTCAGGGGCGGCCGGGCCGGGCCTTACCCTGCCTGGCCGTCATCCCTTCTCTTGCCATCATCCCTTCTCTTACCATCATCCCTTCTCTTACCATCCCTTCTCGTCCCGGCCCACCGGTGTGGCAAGACGAGCCCAAGGGCGAGGACTTTTGCCCTGTAGCAAACGGGGCAGCCAACCCCGGGCCCATCACAGAGAGCCAGACCCTGCCTTGGCCCATCACAGAGTTACTTAAAAGAAGCTTTAGCAAAGTGAAAACAGAGGAGATTTGCCTCCACATCTCCCTGATGGACTGCTGCCCGGGGAATAAAACCAAACAAATTCTGCCTGATGGCTGCATAGGTTATAAACGTTTCAGATCTTCTGCTTCCCATTGTGTCTTCCTTCTGGAGCAACGCTTGCTGCTGTTACAAGATGTTCGGCTGGGGAGTTATTATTCAGATATGCCTCTCAGTTCGTTTCCACAGCCCTCAGGGAACAAATTATGTCAGTAACTCAAATCCCTCTTTAACTTCAAGGATTCTGACGATAGCAGATGAATTTCTGTGGAGCAAAGCAGCCCGACACCTAGATTTAAGTATGTAATTATTTTCACTTACTTTACTGGGGGAGGCGAGGTAGCTCGCTTGCCCATTTGGAGAGATTGTAGGTACCGGCGTGCCCTGATGGTCTGTGCCCGAGGAGGAGGGACGGCAGCAACCGACCGCCGATGGAGCCCAGGGGCTCCATCCTTCACATTAAACTACAGCTCTTTCTTGTGTTAATTCAGTGCTTTGAGGACGCTGTGGGGATTTTTATAATTCTGTCCGGCTGAGGGCACAGGAGCTTGTTTCTTTATAGCAGCCCTTAATGTTCTTGCTCATTGCAGAGCCATACCACAAGTCTCGGTGGGTTGAGGATCTCACCCGTGCTCCTCAATCCAACTTAGCTGATAAAATGCTCGTTCGTTCTGGCCTTAAAAAACATGAGCAACAATTTAAATTGCAGAAATAAGTGGCAAGAATGTACCTATGGGAATATTCAAGCAAGACATTTTTTCTCAAAAGCACAAAGTCTCCCAGTTAAACTGCAGAGGTTCGGAGACATGCCTGACACGTTGTTCTGCAATTTCTCTTGGTGCTCAGGGGTCCTTCTGTGCTTTGTTCCCTGGCTGAGATAATTCATATTCTCCTCCAAAAGCTTCTCGACTTGCTCCACTCTCTCACAGTGTTGTTGCTTGCAGCCACGGAATACAGATGATTGTTTTTATTAGGCAGTGAAAACCTATACTGTCTCGTAAACAGAAGAGGACGAGAACTGGCTGAGGAACAGCGTCTCTGTAGCTGGAGAACTCGGTTGTTGTTTTAATTTCCCCAACGAACTGAAAATAGTGAGAAAAATTTAATTTTGAAGATTTTAATATCTACCTTTCACCACACTATGTGTTTCTCATTCTTTACACCGCTTTGTAAAACTGACGTGCATATTCAAGCGATGGGGGCAGGGGCGGCTCAACCCGCAGCAGCCCCGTGGGCTTCGGTGACCCAGCGTGGACGTGGGCTCGCAGTCCGCGGCAGCATGTGGCATGGAGATACACAACCACAGGGACCTGAGGCTGCTCGGGGTGGCCTTGGACACCCCCAAGGGACACAGCACCTCGCGCAGCTGAAGCCAGCATGCCAGGGCTCCTTTGCAGAGCTCTTGTATTACACTCACCACATTTTCCCCTATAACCACGTTATTTTGTGGGAAGGTGGTGACAATTTCACAGCTGCAGATGTTGTTGAATTTTCTGAAATATGGCTGATCCCTCTCTGAGAAACCAGCTGTCACGTAGCGCAGAGAGCCGGGAGAGGCAAGCGGGAGCGCAGATCCCCTCCGAGATCAGCCCACAGCTCAGCAGCAGGCAGCGTCTCCTGAGTGACTTGAAAGGCTACACAGGGACTGCCAACAGCCAAGCAGCCCTTAAAGAGAATCAGAGCAGCACAAACTATTTACATTAAATTCACATTTTCACATAAAAGAGGGCTTATTTTCAACAATATTAAAGAGTATTTTTTATTAGAATCTGTTGTCTAAGCAGGCAGGCAAAAAAAAAAAAAAAAAGATTTTTTGAGCTTCCTCGTTTTTATGAAAGCTGGCTGGCGGGTATAAAGCAGCAGCTGATGAGCTTATTGAGCAGGAAGGGAGGTTCAGGCTGTGAAACTCGATGTGTAAATCAGCTTCTTGCAGCACTTGTCTCTGTGCCTGTCACTTGCACCAGTGTCCCTGTCTGTTATAATCCTCCCAGTTCGTTTGGCTAAACATTAGTGACATGCTAGGGACAGCAGCCAAAAAAAGTGTTGCCTGTAAACATGCTGGCTGTTAACTGTTGAATGCGAGGTCTATCAAACTCAACAGTCATCCAGCAGGAGCACTGGCTGGTCTTTTCCTGCTATGGGAAAGTTATTTTTAGTTAAGGTGGCTGAGTTGTTCTTTGTTAGCAGCACCTGGGGAGAAAGGAGGAGGAGGATCCGCTGCCTAATAACCGGCACAGGGAGCCTCACTCCCTGCCTAACCACGCTGAGGCATCCTTCCTCCCCGCTGCCTCCTCGGCAGAGCGAGCCCCGGCAGCACAAATCAGTCTTTTCCTCCAGATTTGAAGACGCAACTTTTTAGCTGTTGTTCTCTCCTAGCAAGTGATGTTGTCATGCCAACTCGGGTGACGACAGTGAATGCTGAGCCGCGGACTTTGGGCTCCCAGAAGCGCTGTCTCCTGAACAAGTTTCTGATGAGTTGATATCCCAGCTAGAATGGAAACATTCAGGGGGGTCGGCACCCCTCTGCCCTGAACGCTGCTGTCTCGAGTAGCTTTGCATCGCTTAAACTAAGACCTTCATTTTCATTACTGAGGGGTGTTCACACCAGGAACTAGAGAGCCTCGACATAGAAAGAACAGGGAATTTATGATACACAATGAAATTTCACGTGAGAAATCTCTTTTTGAGTCTTATGTCGGATTTCTTGCTAGTATCGTATCAAGTACCCGACGTGGAAGGCCAGTGTCTGGAGACATTAATTAACCCAACTGAGCGGAGTACACAGGCTTTGCAAGAAAGAGCGGCAAAAAGAAAAATTATGAAGTTCATTAACGAAAACCCTTAAGGGACATCTGAGAAACAGAGAACACAGAGGACCCAGCTCAGGCTGGATCGTTGCAGTTCTTGCCTGGCTGAGGAGCTGCACGGCACTGGCCTCCCCGGGGCAGCTGCATCCCGAGACGCCAGACCCTGCCCAGGGGCTGCTGCTGGCGATCGGATCCTCCCCGCTACTGATGCACAGACCCAGTTTTTGTAACAGTCTCGAGTGCTTACTCAGCAAATCCTCTCCAAAGCACTCTGAATTCAGGGCACCTGATTTGCCCAAGGTTTCCTACCCTTCCGAAGACCTTAACTGCTGTCAGCAGCGTTGATTTTTAAAGCGTTTCAGTAAATCTCTCCCAGCACAAAGCATCCCACTGAGACCAAATCGTTACCTTTGCTCCAGGAATCTGATTACATGGACTGCGGCAACTTAGCCTTGCCATTAAAAATCAACAGCTTACAGAAATCTTTTCCTGACTTAATTTAACAGTTGCTTTAACTGCAGTCATGCAAGCAAGCGTCCTCTTCCCACCACTTTCCTCCTTTTCAGATCGTTTTGCTACAGGGATTGTGGTTTAATTTGCATCAAATTTAATAGTCGCTTTGACTTCTCTCCTTATTCAGCTACTCCCAGCAGCCAAGCTGGGCCCAGCCCAGGGCAGCAGCTCGGCCTAACCAGCTGCCAGACACTGGGGGTCAGTGTTAGACCAGCGATGCAGCTCCCGGAGCCACGCGTGGGCCAAGGCCGGAGCTCGGGGGCTTTGCGAGGCTGTGGTGGCCCCTGGAGCCCACACCCCTGCCCCGGTGGCGTGGGAGAGGCTCACTTCCCGGTCAGGCCTCTGTGCCCGCCAGCCAGTGGCCCAGATGCCCCATTTTTTGGTTTCTTTGCCGGGGAAGCCCAGGGCGCTGGAGCCGTTGCGTTAAGCAGTTCCCAGCTGGCCTGGATCTCCCAGCTTTGTCCTAGTTCCTCCAGCCCACCCTGCTCTTCCTCGTCCCTAAGCCGCCCGTCCTGGCATCGCCACCCTGCCCGGCTGTCAGCTGGGAACGGTGCATTCAGCAAGGCTGAACTCCATCCAGAATGTGAGCTCAGGGCGCTCTCTGTATTATTTGTCTTGTTCAATTAAAAAAAAGAAGCCATGCTCTTCCCCTGTCCTAAGTGCCAGTAAACATCAGGCTTGCCCAGCCCTCGTACCAGTGACAGGTAACATCTTCCTAAGTGTTGTGCCTTATTTAACGTTCTTTCTTTGAGATTAAATATTCTTTGAGTAAATGCAACTCTCTTCCTTGCACACCTGACAACAATAGAAGAGGCTGTTTTACACAAGGCTCATTAAAAATAAAACCACAATGTTGATTGCAGCTGCTTAAATTACTTAGGCCGGTGTAATGGGATAAATATTTGATGGTGAAATTTATTAAATTTCCACCACTATTATGTTGCTGCTAAAAATATAAAGGGTTCTTTAAAGACTGCTTGGTGGTCTCCAAAGGGAGATGGTTGGAAACCGGCCTCAAAACCTTCCTGCAGAGATCGCTTCTGAGATGGGGATGAGTTATCTTTGCTCTATTGTCTTCGGGTGATAGCAAATTCTCTCTGCTCCCATCAGAATTAGTCAGTCCCTGCCAGCAATGAGAAAATAGCAGGGGCCGAGCGTGAGCGGCCGGGGAAGCGCGCTGCTCCATGGGGGAGTTACACCCCCCCAGGGTTTGTCCTGCTTCCCGGCTGCTCCCGAGCACGGGGTAAGCCGTGGGAGCAGTGCCGCGAGCAGGGGAGCGTCCCATACGAGGGTCACTTCAGGGTGGCCGCTCTCAGATGTTTATGGGCTTTGAAGCCTTTTTTCCTCTGAGCACGTGCAAACCCTCAGGACCGCGTTCGTCTCCCCTCCCCAGCTCCTTCCCTTCTCAGCGCTCTGCTGGGACCGCAGAGCACGAACCGCGGGACGCTGCGGGACGGGAGAAGAAATCTGGGCTTACAGGGCGG